CATTTATCACAGTATAATCTCAACCATACAAAAGCCGCACCTTGCCTCGCATAATGTGTTAACGCTCAAGTTAAACGATGAACTTCACGTTAACAGAAAGTGTGTGTCAGAGAAGACGCCATGCGGTCTCTGAATGAGTAAAAAAGCATAATGTGTGATCAGATAATGTAATTCTTATTGAAACCCATTGAACAGGCTTGTCTCAACTCATAAATGTCACCCGCATATGATTAATGGCACTATACGAGAAAGATCGGAGACTTTACCAGCGCAAAGATTCATCTTGAGGAATAGATTAAAAAAAGATGGAGGAAAACAGCTGGCTCATTCTCTGTGGCTTCAACATATTTCTCCTTGAACAGATCTGTAAGATTACTGCTTAAAAATAAACTTATTTTAGGAAATTGAAAAAGTTTTAAGCTAAACCGTGTGCCACAAATGCAATTGCAAACAGGATTCCTGAACACTCGGTCATTGGTCGGACCAAATAGCTCCACCCATTGGTCTGAGGGAATTTGTTTTACGTCTATGTCATGTCTAACACACTTGCTTATTCTAGCCCCTAGGGCCAAATTGTTTCCTAGAAAGCTCATTTGTCTTTATTTTATATTTAAAAAAAGAAAAAAATGTCTTTTGCAATGTAAAATCGATAGTTGTGATGGATAGGAGGGAAAGCTGAGGCCTGTGTTACTGTCAAGTGATTTTGATGAATATACTGGCTTTGTCTACCTCCCCTCAAGTGGAAGGAATGGGTTTTAATCCAAAACTACTATACAACCACCTTCAGCTTCTCAAGGTGTTACAGTCACTGCCGCTCTGTTACAATCTCTAGGCACCCTAGTAGCTGCGCTTTCTCGCTCTCTGACAGCGAGTTACACACAAACCCACCTCTCCTCACTCACTCGTTTCATTTGCTTCGGATCAATATTGTTGGTGTAAGGCGTCATATAGTGACGCTTTTGATATTTCGTCTACATCCAGCGCACATGGCACCCTTTAGCGTCAATAGGAGACGCAGATATATATATACCCTACCCCAGACCTAAACCTACCCATATGTTATATTGACGCTAAAGGGTGCCATGTGCGCTGGATGTAGATGAAATGTCAAAAGCGTCACTATATGACGCCCTAGGATGAGAATGCATTGAATCATTGAACGATTTTGTGCTCACACCCAAAGTTTGCGCGTGTAAAGCCGCCTCTCAGTACTAAATTGAGTTCTTTTTCACAGATTATTGCACTTAAAGATCACTTGGATGCCGCTGTGGTTACAAGAGGTAAAAAACTATATAAATACTGGACATTTTCTCACATAAACCGCTCGTTTCGTGTCTTAGGCCATTAATCTGTACTTACATTTACGAGTCATTAAATCATGTTTAATTTGGACTTCTCTGTGCATGCTCTTTGAGGTGGTGACCATATACCTGCATTATATGACTGACAGACAATAAACGGTTTGACCTAAAAATATCAAAATTGAATCTACTGCGGAAACAAAGACACCTACATCTCGGATGCCCTTTAGCTAAGCTAAAACATACCAAAAATTATTTTCAAAGTGTATCCCTTTAAACAGTCAAATACACACAAGCTAATGTCAAATGCCAGTCTTGGTGAGTCTTTACAAAAACACAGTCAGTGATGTTTTAAGTAAACATAAACAGTTGAGAAAGAAAACGCATGTATAATACTGTAGTATAATGGATCCATGCGCCAGGTCTTAAAGTGACAGGAGGTATATTAGGCAAATTCTGAGATATTATTAAACAATATGTCAGTTTTTCCCCATGGTCAATGTCAAATTTGTGGCCAGTTAACTTTGGAAAAAAACTACCCACAGTGGCGATTGAGCAACAAATGTTAAAGGGATAGTCCACCCAAAGTCATTAATTACTAACCCCCACGCTGTACCAACCCCGTAAGACCTTCGTTCATCTCCGGAACACAAATGAAGATATTTTTGATTAAATTTGAGAGGTGGATCAGTCCTACATAGGCTCCTAAGGGATTGAAACTTGATGGCCCAGAAAGTCAATAAAGAAAATGTTTAAATATTCCATGTGACTACAGTGGCATATAAGACTATAAGTTTATCAAGCGACGAGAATACTTTTTGTGCAAAAAAACAAAAACAAACAAAAATAATGACTTTATTTGACTATTCCTTTTCTTCCTTCTAGGACTGAGACAAGAGTTCAAGAGATTTCAAAGACGCCTCCTTTCGGCCACTATAATCACCTAGTGAAAATATGATATTGTGACAATCCCAACCGATCTGACAAAGTGACACATGTGACAGCTTAAAAAAATGCTATTGCGCAAACCACCATTACCGATTTGTTTGTGGAGGCGGCTGGCAATGTCACCCACACATAAATCCGACAACTGGATGTAAACTTGTTCGAAAATGAACCTTGATTTCCTCGATTTACCTATGGAGAATATTGTGGGGACACAACCTCCTGTTTGAGTGTAAAAAAAAATATAAATAAATAAATCTGAAGACAAACAGCCATGATAAATGCAGTTATTATTTTTTTCAATTAATGTGAAAAATGGCCGGTGACCCCTCATGACCAAACAAAAGTGAAGCGACACTAGCAAAAGTTCTCCATTATTATAATTGCTATTTTGTTTATGCCCCTGTCTTGTGACATGCACGGCTAACTTACAATTGATGCCGCCCGCTTCAGCCCGCTCCGTCTACGTCTGATGAATGCTTTATTGCCAAGGAGTCACTTACTGACAACGGTGAGCAAGATACACTGAGAGATACAATCAAGAAACACTGAAACATGACAATAGTGCTACTAAATCACTTCAAATGCTCTCGGCAGTATCGCCAGCCAAGCTGAATTGTGAAAGCAACTGTGAAGGAAGTTTGGCGTGGAAATACGCTAGTTTATTAGCTCAGGGAACCAAAATGGAAACTTGACCCTTCGCACAGTAACACGACGACTCTTTGTGTTTCCAGGGAAGCAGCAGGAACCAATTACTCTATCATAATCAGGCTCGACTTCCAGCCAAGCAAAGACAGAGACTGCGGCCATATTGGAGTAAACAGATGAAAATCATCACTTCATGTCAATCTGAATAACTTTCTTCAAAAATGTAGCCTAACTTTTTTTTTTATCGTGATGGCCTCACACCAGACATAATGCGATTCCAGTGATGAATAGTTTGTCTGTCCACACCAGACATGACTATGAGACGTGACACAACCAATCACAGCCAATAAGAAGAGCGAAAGGGCGGAGTCTATCTGCACAAAATGGATAATGGTTAACATTATTAAAAATCCATACTGAGTGACTAACTATCTTTGTCATGGAATACACTTTTTTGTTCACACTTGGTTCCTATTCTTTTTTCTTTTCAAGATCTGAGATGTTCCAGACGGCTGGTTTGAACAAAAACTCTGAATAACTTGGAAAATATGCCATTTACTTTTATTGCATGTTACAGCGTTGTGTCACGGATAGGGTGAGCTTTGCGTTACTGCACAGCATTTTCACCCCTTGTCCCGCACGTCGCATATTGAGGAAATGTCCCGCATTTTCATCAGTCTATTGGTTTTTAATGATCATATTAAGCAAATGTGCATGTGTTCTTTTGCCTTTTTTAAGAAAGCATTTCACTTATTACTTTTTTAGCGTAGTTTTTCTCCTAGGCTATATTTAACAGCGGTTCATCATAAGTACAAATACAACAGCCATTTTTAATATCCTATCCAATGGTTGAAAAGAAAGGAGTAAGCACGGTCACTAGTAGGTTGTGACGGCTGTCAATCAAAATGTGGAGCGGTGATTCGTTCCATGTGTTCCCTGACGGAAAACAAATGGATAATTCGGTTAATTAAAATTTTAATTTAACAGAATTTATCTTTTGTTGTTTATTGCCTGCTGTGGTTGTTTTATTTCACATCCTTTCTAAAAATATGAAAGTTTTTGGTTTTAGTCTTATTATATAAGACCAGCGCAGTCTTACCCCAAAAAGTCATATAACTGACGTTTTGGGACGTCGTTTGACCATACGTCAATATTCGCCTTTTTAGGGCCCCCTTAAACGTCGGTAGATGAGGTTAGGGGATCCTAACTCTACCCCAGACGTAAACCTAACCCTAAACCTAACCCGTCACCTAACTGACGTTAAAGGTAAAGCGTCAGTTGTATGACAGCCGGGATCGCCATCTAGCGACGTTTAAGGGGGCCCTAAAAAGGCGAATATTGACGTATGGTCAAAAGACGTCCCAAAACGTCAGTTATATGACTTTTTGGGATGAGAATGTGTTGATAAGACTGTCTATCTAATTTCATGTTGTTTTATATTTTATTTGTTCATTGTTTATTTAGTTGGATTTTAGTTGGACTTGGTCAGAACTGTTTCTAAAATAGTTATCTGCATGATGTCTGTTGCCTTTGGGCTCAGTTATACAGTACATGTAAAATAAAAAAAATAAATTCTGGAAGGGACTAAAGAATAACGATTTTTTTTAACAGCTGAAAGGCATAATACAAATGTTTTTATTAAGTTAGATAGACATTATATAACCGTTTCAGAGTATGTTTTAGTGTTGGTAACATGTCCCACATTGTCCAACACAAACTTATAATCGTCCCACTTGGTTTGTTTGATGGTGGTCACCCTACGTCTGGATATGGTGTTTGGCCTTATTTATTTATATTGAAAAGAATGGCAAATATATTCTTAAAAAATTCATCTTTCGTTTTCCAAGAAAGAACATACACGTCTGAATCGATGCGAGGTTGAGTAAATAATGACAGGCTTCTGATTTTTAGGTGAACTTACTCTTTAAAACACTCATTGTTCTGATTTATCCTCAGTAAAAGCAGGTTCATCATCGGGCTGACAGTGAAAGTGAAAACTTCAGCATAATCTTTCTTTAGAATCAGCAATATGTCCATGTGGAGAGCCGTTTGGTAGTGAATCAAGAGAATAAAAGTTTAAATGAATGAAAACAGCTGACAACGTACCAACACACCTTGGCAGAGGTGCGCTCCACATGCGCCGACCCCCTCCCAGGCAAATGATTTCCGGCACTCCCTCCAGCCGGTAGCCCATGTTGCAAGAGAAGGTGAGAGTATCTCCGATACCAAAGCTGTAACCGTTACGCCGCCCGAAATCAGGCACTCCTGGATCCTCACACGGCTCCAGGTTATATTCTGAGAGAAACAGAATTTGAAATTAAACATAATTTTATGTAATATGTATTAGAAGTAAACATAAACTTGAAAATACATTTTTTTTGTTACATTTTATTTGAAGGTGATGTAGTTACATTGTACTTACTGAGTAATATTAACTACATGTACTTGTTATAGACTTACGGTGAGGGTTAGGGTTAGTTATCTGTAATTATGCATTATTTACTGTTATTACTATAGTAAGTACATGTAGTAACTACGTCACCTTAAAATGAAGTGTTACATTTTTTCTTTTCTTTTTTCTTTTCTGATTATAGCTCTATTTTTTTTACATTCATTTTACGTTTACATTAATTTTTCTTTGAATTCACCATTGGCATTTCTATCAAACAGTATTAAAATATTCTGACAATGTATTAGAAGATGCAATGAAAATGTATCACATTGAAAAGAATAAATAAAAACACTTGAAGCCAGGGTTATTATCGGTAACTAAAACCATTAAAAACATTTATGTTCATTGAAATAAAGCTGAAATAAAATAAAATATAAATATAAGTTGAAAAAATTGAAACTAAACGAAAATTAGAAATGTTGAAATGTTTTAAAGTTATGAACTAAAATAAAAATTTTAACTAAATAAATTAAACCTAAATAGCAACATAACAAATAAATATGTAACATTCTTATACATTTAACTAAAATTAACATGAACACTTAAAATATAAAAATGAAAGCTGATTCAAAATCAGTGGTGGTGCTAGAAAACCCAATGATTTCCTGGTTTTGACTCTCAGTGTTAAAATTAAAAAAAGTATTTATAAGTAAAAAGTATAATAAAAACCCCAAAAATAAAATAAGGTTTAATAAACATTTTAATGTGTCTATAAACAATGGTTTTAATGGGGCATGCTCAGGAACGAAAATGTATTGAAGAATAAAGCAAGAATAAAGCTCCCCCGAGATAAACTGGAGCCGCCATGATTTTATCAAATAATAATAACACTAAAATAACCCTGCTTGAAGCACGATCACATTAACTCGATACTGTCACGGGGTATCCAACACAAGGACTCAACTACTGTCCCAGCGTCCCAGTTCTCCAGTTCGCTCCTCACCTGAAAATGTGATGTTGAAACCTTCGTAAGAGATGGAGAAGTCAGATATGAAGCGGAGCTGGGCCTTGAAGTTGCCATAGAGTCCTGCATTGATGGGCGAGGGCAGTTCTGCTCCTGTGAGGCGGGCGAGCGGCTGAACAAAACTCCTATTCTCAGTGATGAGCAGATAGTCATGATGATCCTCCAGGTGGAAGGTGTTAAAGGTGAACTGAACACCTATTGGGGAACAAAACCAATGCACAAATGAAGCTTGGTTCAAGTTTCTGGTCAACTTCTGACTGTTGGGTGGAGATTGGAGTAGGATGAAAACGGACAAAAAAGAGAGAAAAGTTAAAGGAATGATGAAGCATTTGGGGTCAAGCTCATTATACAAGGCAATGGTATAGCTTACTCGTGAGAATGGAGGGCCCTTCATTAAAACTTTTTCTCGGGCCCTGTGAACTTAAGCAACGGCCCTTGACAGAGGTCACGTACTGAAGAACAAAGACAATTTTGATACTGACCCTTTTTTTTGTCAGAAAGAGAAAAGTGTATTTTTAGTCCTAACTGATCTGTCCACTAAACACAATGGCCTTCAAAACTGATATGCCTTAGCAGTCATGGGAAATTAAAATTCAGAGGAACTTTCATTATTCTGAACTCAAAGGTTGGATAATGATATTTGAGAGTAGGGCAAATCTGTATTCATGACAGAATACTGTATGTGATGGGGTCTCGGCTCTTGCTCTTCTCCCTATCATCAGTTATTACTGTATATTAGTCTGCAGTAGCTGGCATATTAAAATAAATGTTTTTCTATAAGACGGTGGTAAACTGTAGGTAAGATAAAGCCTATCAGTAGTGGTTTTACCTTTGCCATGGCTGACCTCCACAGTCCAGGTGCAGTTCAGGGAGCTGGGATAGACCTCAGGGTATCCAGGTGAAAGGATGGTGCCTCCCGGTCCTCGAACATCACCCCCACAGAGTGCTATAGGGCAAAGTACTTACTTAAACAGGCCTTTCACTTAACTTCAATAGATGCAAATGGAACTACACCGTCATAAATGATTTCGGTAACATTTTACTTGAAGGGGTGTGCATAAGACTGGCATGACACATTCATAACCATGACATGAATATGAAGTAGGGTTTATGCATGTTTATGACAACTGTCATTAAGTGTCTTTCGCTCAATAATGACCTTTTTAATGCAAATATGACATTGTTTAGGATATACTGACATAAACCAATATATCATAACCTGTTAGAATAAACTTGATATTAAATTAAGTTAAAATGTCATGTGGTTGGCTTTGACATTGGCTGTCATGAGGCATTATAACTGTGTCATGACTATTTTTCGTGACCTCAACAAGTGGTACTAATAGAATTTGTCATTAAAGATTTTTGAAAATGACTGTTCATGTAGTGTGGAATATAGCTCTAAGGGAATGAAAACATCCTGCAAAGATTTATATCTGAAAGGGCACCGTATATAAAGTTGTCTTTCAAAAGTGAGAGTCGACTCTGAGTCTATGAAATGAATTGTTTTTGAAACGAGTCATTGGCTGTTTCGTAGTGACGTAGATACGAAACATTGGCATATTGACTGCGCCCAGTTACTGCGCGCGCAGACGGAAGTGTAAACTTGAAGTAGAACACATTCAAATACTTCAGCTGATTAGCATCATGTCGAGAAGATGCTGTGTTCTACATTGCAAAGACAGTTCAGCCACTTGTTTTCATTAGCCAGGGACGAGCAAGTGAAGAATCAGTGGTTAGAGTTCATATTTGCAACGACCACAACATTTTAGCCCGAACCTCCTCCGAATCACAATCTGTAAGTATTATTAATAATGTTTGCTGTTATATTTTCTGTAGCATGCACAATATAGTTATATTTTGTTGTGTGTGTTGTGTACAAAACGACCTAAACGACTATGTCAAAAAATGACTTTGCTCTATATAATAAGTACTGCCCCTCAAAAGCCGCCGCCATGTGAGTTTCTCCGGGAAAGCTCGCTTTTGATGGAGACGCGAGTAAGGGACCGTGTGGAAAGTGCACTTTTTATGAAACGTTTGTTCATACACTATATACAATTTTCAACACTTGACAAGCTGTAATCCTGGTGATGGGGGTTCCGTTGCCGACAGTCTCTGCCTACGGTTTACCAATAACAACTGACTGGGTCATTTGACCACTCGCCGCAGAGTCGCGTCACTCAAAGGAGGTGTTTGGGAAAATGAATCGAATGAATCGAACGAATCATTTGGGAGTCGTTGAGCAAATCAGGTAAAAACGAATGCATATTATAAGACAAATAAAGTGTTTTTTTCCTTACAATGCACGTTAAACTGATTTTGGTAACTCCCAAAACAAAAATAGGAACATTTCAAATGCTATGATAGGGGCTCTTTAAAATGTTACAAATGACTTCATGACAGCCAATGTCAAATCCAACCAACTTGGTTTCTTAAGTTTGATCATTAATCTGCTATGTCGTGTTTATGACAGGTTGTGTTGTATTAGTAATGTCAAGTTGTCATGAGACACTGGCAGGTTATGATGTATTGGTTTATGTCAAGTTGTCATAACAAAGACATCTTAAACAATGTCATATTTGCATTCAAAATGTCATAACTGAGCGAATGACACTTAATGACAGTTGTCGCAAACATGCATAAAACTTCCTTCATATTCATAACATATGTCATGACATGGTTATGAAGGTGTCATGTTAGTCTTATGCACACCCCTTCAAGTAAAGTGTTACCATGATTTCTTTCTTCTTTTCTTGGCTTATCAGCTGACATGTCAAAATAACATCTGTATCTTGGTTCCTAGTGACTCAAAAACCTAAGCACTTGCATAAACTATCAGTCAAGAGTTTAGAGTCAGTATGAGAGTAACAAAAATTCACATTTCTTCTTTTGTTGTCATGGTTACACATTGCTTTGTGCACCTGTTTCTTGTTCAGTTTCTTGAATGGTCCTGCGACTCCTATTATTTGCATTATCTTCTTTGCTTTTGGTTATAAATAAAACTATCCAGCTGCTTTAATTTCCATCTCTCAATCTCCTCTTCTTTTGCCTGACCAGGCATTACACAAATCAGCATATGAGAATGATTTCTGAAGGATCATGTGACACTAAAGACTGGAGTAATAATGCTGAAAATTCAGCTTTGATCACAGGAATAAACGACATTTTAAAATATATTACTATAGAAAACAGTTTTTTTAAAATTGTAATAATATTTCACAAAATTATATTTTTGTTAACTGTATATTTGATCAAATAAATGCAGCTTAGATGAGCACAAAAACATTAACTCTTTCAAAACCTAAATGTTTGAACGGGAGTGTATCTGTATCCATTATAATCCAGTGGGGTCCAAAAATCTGAGACCACAATTGGAAAGAGCACTTTTCTATTATAGTTCAAATTCAGTCCTTCCGTTAATAATTTGAGTGAAATCTTAGAATTGGACCTGGGAAATAGGGAGTCAAAACAGTAAAATTTGAATGCTCTATTTGGATCAATGACCATGCTCTTCTTTCTTAAACTCGGCCTGGTGCTCAGTGGAGGAAGCATGTACAGTCTCCACAGACCCTGTCACCCCAGACAGCAGTGTAGGCAGGTGCGTTTCTCTAATGTAAGCTGCGTTTAGATCCCATGGAAGTGAGATGACTGTGCAGTAAAAAGTGCCTCTGGATGTCTAATCTGGTGAGCGCATCAGTTCCTATCAGCTAAAGCAGCCTTCACAGCAAATTGCCTCTCAGAGTCCTCCTCAGCGACGGGCTAATGGCCTTGCATTGAATCACATTGTTTCAGTTTAGCTGCCTTAGAGAAAGGAAAGCGAAAGAATGTAATCAAATAGCCGAAGGACACGCGGCCTAAGAAGCTCTGACAGGGCAAGACACAGGTAACGTCTTTCATCCAGCATTCAGCGGAGGTTTCATTGCCTGTCCTGCTTTAGTAATACGGTCTATTAAACCCTCTTTGTCACCGACTCTGAACCTCTTTTATTCAAGATGTAAATTGACATGTCACCTTGTTTCTTTACAAAACAGTTTCATTGATCAGTAAAGCCACAAAGATTCGCAGTGCTTTTTTTTTGTTTTGTTTTTGTTCCTGAGATGTCTCAGGAAACCAACCGTCACAGGTGGGTAGTGGGTGGCTCCACCAGTGGTTCTTTTCACAAACCAATGGCTCTTCGTGGCTGAGGCGATAGCCTGAGTCGCAGCCGAAAGACACGGTGGAGCCGATGGAGAAGTCCTGACCGTAACGAAGACCGTTGACTGGAATCCCTGGATCCAGGCAGGAGTAGGCATCTATTGTTACGCCTAGGAATAGTCAGGCATTTGAAGTTTACGAAACAGTGTCATTTAAGAGCATTTTAATGACCCTATAATGGTGCTCTATAATAGCAAGGTGTTAAAAGTGAAGTATGTAAGTGTTTTTATGTTAAAATACATTCTCTTAAAGGAGTAGTTCAATTTTTTTTTTAAAAAATTGCTGATAATTTACTCACCCCCATGTCATCTAAGATGTCCATGTCTTTCTTTCTTCAGTGGAAAAGAAATTAAGGTTTTTGATGAAAACATTCCAGGATTTTTCTCCATATAATGGACTTTAATGGGGTCCAAACGGTTCAAGGACCAAATGAGAGTTTCAGTGCAGCTTCAAAGGGCTTTAAACGACACCAGACGATGATAACAGTCTTATCTAGCGAAACCATCGGTCATTTCGAAAAAGATTTGTTCATTTTAATGAACGAGTTCGAACAGGAGAGTCACAAACGTGCATCACAGAACAGAGCAAGGCGAGCATTTGTGCTTATAAAACTTGAACTTTTTTGTTTATTTTTGAAATGACCGATCGTTCAATTCATTTCATTGTCTGATTCATTGTCTGGTGTCGTTTAAACCCATTTGAAGCTGCACTGAAACTCTCATTTGGACCTTGAACCGTTTGGACCCCATTGAAGTGCATTATATGGAGAAACATCCTGGAATGTTTTCATCAAAAACCTTCATTTCTTTTTCGACTGAAGAAAGACAGACGTGGACATCTTGGATGACATGAGGGTGAGTAAATTATCAGCAAAAGTTTTTCCTTTAACCCAAATTATTGTTCATTGACTGCTGTTAGTATGCCATTAATGGGTTTATCTCCCTCAAAAGTGTAAGCATTGAGCCGCCCAGGCGCCATCAAAACATTGAGAATGGTTCGCTCAGATCTGTCAATCTCTTTCCAGCTTAACCAATAGTGTGAGTTTGGGGCGTGGCTATGACTGACATGCATGTTACACAGAAAAAGATGTTTGGCTTCAAGTACAGGAATGCAAGACAAAATTTGCTGTGTTTAGACCTTAAAAAGATTAAACCAGTGTTCAAAGCGAATGGGGCATTGCGATTAAATGCGCTTCAATACTGTATATCATCATCATGCACCTGTTCAGAAAAGACAAATGTAACAGTTTATAATGTTCACTTTGATTCGCCTCATACAGTTGTGGTGAAATGCATGCTTTGCTCTAGAAAGAGTATTGGCTATATGTTGGACATTATATTGAAAGTCGCCTACTTTCTAACTTTAGAGACATCATGCCATCACAAGCACCCGAATTTTGATTCCTGAGTTGGGGGAGGACCCCCGAGCAAAAGTAATGTTTGCAAGGTTGTTTGAATATATGCTTTGTTTTTGTGTCGTAGAAACAACATACTTCACTTTTAACTTCCAAATAGTATGTTCTGAAACTTTGGAAAGTTTACTGTTCACTTACTTTCATATAGGATCTTGAAGCCAGTGTTTGAGCGACTGTTGTCAGTGGTGAAAAGCATGTACAGGTGGTTGGTGGTGCTGAATAGGAACTGAGGCACTTGGGTGCCATTGAATGAGCCAATCAGAGGAGAGAGAAGATTGGGACCATCGTGAAGCTCCAGCAAATCGCAATTCAGCTCTGTCTGAAATCTGGTTGGAGAAATAGAGAATAGTTAAAAAAGTTTTTTATGTTTTTGTAAGAAGTCTCATCTGCTCAGCAAGGCTGCAATAATTTGAGAAAAAATATAGTAATATTGTGAAAAATTATTATAATTTAAAAGAACTGTTTTCAATGTAAATATATTTTAAAATGTAATTTATTTCTGTCAATTTTCAGCATCATTAGTCTTCAGGGTCACAAAATCATTCAGAAATCATTCTAATATGCTGATTTTCTGCTCAAGAAAATATTATTATAATTATCAATGTTGAGACCAGCTGTGCTGCGTAATATGTTTGTGGAAACTATGGTACATTTTCAGGATTCTTTGATGAATTGAAAGTTAAAAAGAACAGCATTTATTTGAAATATATACTTTGTAAGCTTGTAAATGCTTTTACTGTCACTTTTGATCAATTTAGTGCATCCTTTCTAAATAAAATTACATTTTCCTCTGAATTTTCACTCTATCTGAATGTACCAAAGCAACAATATCTATTCAAATTAAAAAAAGCATACTTCTCAAATGTGATTTTGATGGAGCGTCCCGGTTCCGCCTCTATGACCCACTCACAGTTGAGTGAGTCTTTGTAGTAACCGGGCCATCCAGGAGATAAAATAACTCCACTAGGAGCTGAGAAGTGTCCTCCGCAGGGAGCTGTAGAAAGACCAGAGGATTAACAGAAATGCATTAAGATGTACACAAAAAAAAAGATGAACTGCATGATCACATGAATTTACGGAAGCTTGTTTCCACCACAGAACAAAACATTTTGAAAGAAAATTTTTCTCACAATTGCGAGTTTACATGATGTCTGACTTAATTTCTCACAATTACGTGTTAAAAAGTCAGAATTTCGAGATATAAACTCACAATTGCATGTTAAAAAGTCAGAACTGCAAGATATAAACTCACAATTGCGTGTTATAAAGTCAAAATTGCAAGATATAAACTGACAATTGTGTTATAACGTCAGAATTGCGAGATGTAAACGCACAATTGCGTATTTTAAAGTCAAAATTGCGAGATATAAACTCACAATTGCGTGTTATAAAGTCAGAATTGTGAGATATAAACTCAATTGCGTGTTATAAAGTCAGAATTGAGAGATATAAACTCACAATTGCGAGATATAAAGTCAGAATTGCGTTATATAAACATACAAATGCGAGATATAAAGTCAGAATTGCGTGTTATAAAGTCAGAATTGCGAGATATAAACTCACAATTGCAAGATATAAAGTCAGAATTGCGAGATATAAACTCACAATTGCGAGGTATAAAGTCAGAATTGTGTGATATAAACTCACAATTGCGAGATATAAACTCACAATTGCGTGTTATAAAGTCAGAATTGCGAGATATAAACTCACAATTGTGAGATATAAACTCAAAATTGCGTGTTATAAAGTCAGAATTGCGAGATATAAACTCACAATTGCGAGTTATAAAGTCAGAATTGCGAGATATAAACTCACAATTGCAAGATATAAAGTCAGAATTGTGTGATATAAACTCACAATTGCGAGATATAAAGTCAGAATTGCGAAATATAAACTCACAACTGCGAGATATAAAGTCAAAATTGCGTGATATAAACACAATTGTGAGATATAAACTGACAATTGCATGTTAAAAGTCAGAATTGCGAGATATAAACTCACAATTGCGAGATATAAACTCACAATTGCGTGTTATAACGTCAGAATTGCGAGATATAAACTCACAATTGCGAGATATAAACTGACAATTGCATGTTAAAAGTCAGAATTGCGAGATATAAACTCACAATTGCGTGTTATAACGTTAGAATTGCGAGATATAAACTCACAATTGCGTGTTATAAAGTCAGAATTGCGAGATATAAACTCATAATTACGTGTTATAACGTTAGAATTGCGAGATATAAAGTCAGAATTGCGAGATATAAAGTCAGAATTGCGAGATATAAACTCACAATTGCGTGTTATAAAGTCAGAATTGCGAGATATAAACTCATAATTACGTGTTATAACGTTAGAATTGCGAGATATAAAGTCAGAATTGCGAGATATAAAGTCAGAATTGCGAGATATAAAGTCAGAATTGTGTGATATAAACTCACAATTGCGAGATATAAACTCATAATTACGTGTTATAACGTTAGAATTGCGAGATATAAAGTCAGAATTGCGAGATATAAAGTCAGAATTGCGAGATATAAACTCACAATTGCGAGATATAAAGTCAGAATTGCGAGATATAAACTCACAATTGCAAGATATAAAGTCAGAATTGTGTGATATAAACTCACAATTGCGAGATATAATGTCAGAATTGCGAAATATAAACTCACAACTGCGAGATATAAAGTCAGAATTGCGTGATATAAACACAATTGTGAGATATAAACTGACAATTGCATGTTAAAAGTCAGAATTGCGAGATATAAACTCACAATTGCGAGATATAAACTCACAATTGCGTCTTATAAAGTCAGAATTGCGAGATATAAACTCACAATTGCGAGATATAAACTGACAATTGCATGTTAAAAGTCAGAATTGCGAGATATAAACTCACAATTGCGTGTTATAAAGTCAGAATTGCGAGATATAAACTCATAATTACGTGTTATAACGTTAGAATTGCGAGATATAAAGTCAGAATTGCGAGATATAAAGTCAGAATTGCGAGATATAAACTCACAATTGCGTGTTATAAAGTCAGAATTGCGAGATATAAACTCATAATTACGTGTTATAACGTTAGAATTGCGAGATATAAAGTCAGAATTGCGAGATATAAAGTCAGAATTGCGAGATATAAACTCACAATTGCATGTTAAAACGTCAGAATTGCGAGATATAAACTCACAATTGCGTGTTATAAATTCAGAATTGCGAGATATAAACTCATAATTACGTGTTATAACGTTAGAATTGCGAGATATAAAGTCAGAATTGCGAGATATAAAGTCAGAATTGCGAGATATAAAGTCAGAATTGTGTGATATAAACTCACAATTGCGAGATATAAACTCATAATTACGTGTTATAACGTTAGAATTGCGAGATATAAAGTCAGAATTGCGAGATATAAAGTCAGAATTGTGTGATATAAACTCACAATTGCAAGATATAAAGTCAGAATTGTGTGATATAAACTCACAATTGCAAGATATAAAGTCAGAATTGCGAAATATAAACTCACAACTGCGAGATATAAAGTCAGAATTGCGTGATATAAACACAATTGTGAGATATAAACTGACAATTGCATGTTAAAAGTCAGAATTGCGAGATATAAACTCACAATTGCGTGTTATAAAGTCAGAATTGTGAGATATAAACTCATAATTACGTGTTATAACGTTAGAATTGCGAGATATAAACTCACAATTGCGAGATATAAAGTCAGAATTGCGAGATATAAACTCACAATTGGGTGTTATAAAGTCAGAATTGCGAGATATAAACTGCGGGTTATACAGTCCAATCTAAGGAAAAAAAGACATGCAATTGCGACTTTATATCTCCCAATTGCCTGTTGTAAAGTCCAAATTGAGAAAACCTGAGAAAAAAAGTTTCTCGCAAATGTGAGTTTATATCTCACACACAATTGCGAAAATTGTGAGATAAAAAGTCGCAACTACCTTTTTTTTCTGTGGCTGAAACAAGCTTCCATATGTATATTTAATGAAGACAGCAGATCTGATAAATAATAAAAGTCATTTGACTATCCAATATACCCCACTTTACATATTTACAATCCCCCAAAACCTACAGTAAGGGGTTACAGTGGCTCGTGGGCGACACTTTTAGTCTGTCACTCTGACCATATGAGTAGAGTTACAGTGTAATTAGAAACATGCTGAGAGAAATACGAGGGATTGAAAGGGATTTTAATGACAGATGACAGGCTGCTCACCACCACATGCCCTCCGGTTTACATGCCCTATTAACCCTTGTCTCAGTGACCCACAGGTGACTGTCTATTCCATTTAGAGTCACAGAGAAAACCAGGCACAACTGTGCACTTATTCAGGACTCCAGTCCACTTCTGCCCTAATAAATACCTTCACACTTTGGGATGGGACCGCTCCACATCACCTTGCCACCGTTCAGCTCACAGGTGATGGTTTCTGCTCCCTGGGTCTTAATGAAGCCATCCTCGCAGATGATGGAGATGGAGCTGCCCAGCTGGAAACTGTCACCGAAACGTCTGGCGTTCAGGGGGACTCCTGGATCCGGACACTCATTATGGCCAAATGCTGGAAGATTGAATGACATAAGATAGTAATATGCTTTCTCAATAGTTTTTGGGGTAGCACCAGTATTTATGCCACTAACAATTTTATTTTTGGACGTGTAAAACGATGTTCTCATGCAGTGGGAAGTTCCATCTCAAGCGGTGCTCTTCAATTTAGCCTCCACTCACGAGAGCGAGGATTTGTGTTACTTTGTAGGACAGGTTTCCACTCCAGGCTATGTTTATTAGTTCTAGTGTTATTGACCTTTCAGCTGTTTTTATCATAACTCTATGAAGCATATATGGAGGCCCAAGGCGCTTGGCCGAGAAAGCGGCTGTCTCCACGACACTCTGAGTGTCTGATGGATGTCTAGTGACAGGAAAGGCCTACAAGAAGGACATGACGTTTGTCAGAATGAATACAGATTTAAAGGTGCTCCATCAAGGCCCTGACGGCTCTTAACAGACAACAGTTAGGTGTCAGTCTGTTAAAGATCTCGATATTAACGCTCAGCATTGATGACTATTGTAGCGCACCTAATATGCATGCAAACTGATGTCCACTCTGAGGACTTTGATGGATTATCGTGACATTTCACATCTCCTTTAAAGAAGACCATCAAGAAGTCATTGTCTAAATTAAAGTCATGTATGTGCTAATGAGGGACGGGAGAGAAATCTGCCGCACTGACAGAAAGACGAAAAATAGGATAAGCATTTGACACACCTGGAAAATGCTGTAAACAGACACCTTCTAGTTTGTAGTTTTCAGCACAAATGCAATCAATTTATATTTTATAGAACACTATTTCTTGCTCTCATTAAGTTTTAATCTCGTCAACAAAATTACTGATTGAAATGCATGTTAATATGATTTTTTTAAAACACTGCTTATATATACAGTATATACAAACACACACACAGTATAACATTTGCAGGATATTTTTTTAAATATTCTATTAAATGCATACAGTAAATATAATATTAACTCAATATAAATTATACTATATTATCTCTCTAAAAAATATTTTTTGGTAAAATATGGACAAACCCAAACTTTGGGTTAAAAATGTCATTTAAAATGTTAACCCAATTACTGGGTTTGTCAATATTTGATCCAAAATTTGGGTTAAAATAACCCAGCATTTTTTAGAGTGTTATAACATTTACCGGATATTTTCATGGGAAAAAAAAAAGACTTGTTAACTAAGTATTATTATTAGTCTAAAATATTTTGATCAAATAACAAATTTATATTTTAACTGTTTAGATTAAACATCAAGATTAACTGACTGAATGTAACGGTTATCATCAAAAATAGAACTTCTCTCAATACGGTAAATTATAACCGTAAAAACTAGGGCTTTCAAACGATTAATCGCGATTAATCGCATCCAAAATAAAAGTTTGTGTTTACATAATATATGTGGGTGCACTGTGTATAATTATTTTGTATATATATACAGTGTAAATTTAAATACACAAACATGCATGTATATTTAAGAAAAAATATTATTTATATATATAAAATATTTCTATTTAGATATAATATAAATTATATATAAATCCATATACAGTATATACATGAAAATATTTCTTAAATATATACAAGCATGTGTGTGTATTTATATATATATCAAATAATTGTACACAGTGCACCCACATATATAATGTAAACACAAACTTTTATTTTAGATGCGATTAATCGTGATTAATCGTTTGACAGCCCTAGTAAATAGTTCAAATATAATATTATATCATTACCTGTTGAGAAAAAGCAGTAACTGCTATCAGTAAACTTTAAAACACAACACATGCGTTGAAGACTTCATGCTTCACATAATGCTTAACAAATGCTCCATGCAGACATAATGCAGATTAGAAACGCATCAGGGAGGAGCACGCACTGGTGTAGGTGATGTTGAAGCCTCGGCCGGACATGGAGTGGTCAGCCTGGAACTCCAGCCGGAGAATGTTGCTGTTGCTGGTGAGGTGTGACGGCACCTCGGCCCCAGTGAAACGGCCCAGCACAGACGAGTCCAGCATCTCTCCATCCTTCACGGTCAGGATGTCGTATGGAGCCTCCAGGTCAAAGTCATTGAAGGCCAGGTGGATACGGCTGCCGGGCTCTGATAGGATCAGCCACACACAGTTAAGGTTGTTCCCATAGCCCTCTGGGTAATCCGGAGACAGAACTGTTCCCATGGGAGCAGTGAAGTTTGAAAGACAGGGAACTGAAAGAAAGAATATAATTAATGTAATTAAAATATAATATTGCACCCGGCAACATATAAAAACATGCCGCATCATACATCAGTGTAATAATACAACATGTGCATGTGTTTCATATGCCATATGGAGACTGTCACTCTGCTGTTGATTGCATTCTGACAAACGGCATTTATGACACAAATGGACTTCAGGCTATAAATAGATCTGATCTGTTAAATCTTCCAATTAGACTTGGAGAAATTTCAGCAATGCATTCCTTTTTTTTTTTATTAAGCAAAGAGCCTACAGTTGAAGAATCAAAATATAGCAGATGTCACTGCAGTTGAGGAAGTCTCCCGGTTGCCTGTATTTATAAGCCAATTATTTTAGCTGCCTCAGAGATTTCTGTATTCATTTTGAGGAAAAGGCAAAGACAGGAACGTTAATAAAATCCAGTTATATGAAAATTCAAATGGAACATGAACATTTGGCTGAAAAATCTTTAATGATGAAGCATGTGTGATTTTTGTGTCACACTAGTGTCAAAAACAATGACTGTTTTCAAATTGGTTTCCTAAACACTTTCCATATGTGCCACTGGCTATTTTAATAGCACCTTAGAGAGGGAGAAAGTATTTTAACATCAAATACACATTTACATTTTTTGATGGTGCTGCATGAAATTATGGAAGCTTGTTTCCGCCACAGAATGAAAAACAAAAAAGGTAACTGCGACTTTTTATCTCACAAATCTGACTTTTTTTCTCACAATTGCGACTTCACATTTCGCAATTCTGACTTTATTTCTCACAATTCACAAAGTCGCAATTGCGTGTTGTAAAGTCAGAATTGTGAGATATTTTTATATTTTTATCTTAGAATTGGCCTGATAAGTCGCAATTGCAAGTTTATATCTCACAATTCTGAGAAAAGATGTCAGAATCTCAAGATATAAACTCGCAATTATGTGTTATAAAGTCAGAATTGCGAGATGTAAACTCACAATTGTGAGATAAAAAGTCTCAATTCTGTCTTTTTTCTCGTAATTGCGACTTTATTTCTCAGAATTTCGACTTTATATCTCACAATTGTGTCTTTATTTCTCATAACCGCGACTTTATATCTCGCAATTGCGACTTTTTTTCTCATAATTGCGATTTTATATCTCGCAATTTCGACTTTATTTCTCAGAATTGCGATTTTATATCTTGCAATTGCGACTTTTTCTCAGAATTGCGACTATATCTTGCAATTGTGACTTTATTTCTCAGAATTGCGACTTTATATCTCGCAATTGCGACTATTTCTCAGAATTGCGACTTTATATCTCGGAACTGCGACTTTATTTCTCATAATTGTGACTTTATATCTAGCAATTGGGACTTTATTTCTCACAATTCTGACTTCATATCTCGCAATTGTGAGATAAAAAGTCACAATTATAATTTTTCTTTTATTCAGTGGCGGAAGCTTCCATATGAAATAGAACAGATATGACGACAGAATAAAAATAAACACTTCTTTAAATTTAGCATAATCGTCCTGATAAACGCAGTTGTTAGAGCACCAAACAAGGACATGAAGAAAATTTCCCAAACTATTAATCAGTTCGCAAACATACAGTGGCATTGACAGTAGCCTACTCACAGATGCAGATGGGGATGTTGGCAGACCACTGGTTGTTGTTCTGACAGGATATTGTTTTCTCTCCAATGAGCTCAAATCCAAACTGGCACTCAAAGCGCAGCACGTTACCATTCAAGAAACCATCTCCATCTCTCATTCCATACAGAGGGGTGCCTGGGTCCCCACAGCTCTCCTTGTCGATTTCTACAGAGAAAGAATGCAACCATTAGTGATCAATAAACAACACATTCCCTCTCTCCACTGCTGCAGTTTGTTGAATAAGTAACTTTTTTTCTTTAACAAACTCAAAATTAAAAGAATTAATTTCACACCAAGAATGATAACTAAATATAACTACTTTAGCATCCACACCAGCAAAACAATATTGCTCTGTTTATTATTTTGTCATCTGCCACTTTAAATGCACAAGCTCTCTAAAGTCAGGTGGATTCTGATTGGCAGTCAATGTTTTTATCGTTCATTAGCTGGAAAAAAAATCTGATTAGCATTTTTACTGGTGAACAAAATGGCAGTCAGACCAGACCAGTCGACACCAAGGACGACAACGGTTACAATAAAGAGATCGCTTTAAAAGTCATTCTTTTATGACTTTTAAAGCAATTTCTTTATTGTAACTGTTGTCGACGGGTCTTACCCGTGGTGTCAGTATTAATTTTCATTAACCAGGCTGGTCTGAGTGCCATTTTGTTCACCAGTAAAAATGCTAATCAGACAGCATGATCTTTCTGGTGCAGCTGGTAGCCCAAGGAAGACTTGCTTGTTGAGCAAATGTCAATTCCTCTCCATATTAAAGTGGAAGATAAATCTACGGACTTCAAGGAAATGACTCCAATCTAAGGAAGTGAGACAACTGGCACCAAACTGAACTGCAAAAGTCCAACGATGGACTGAATTCATCAGATGTTCTCCACTCAAGAGTAGTGGACCAAAACTGAATGCCACCAAAACTCTCTGTTCAGCCCAGATAAGCTCCAACACCTGGAGCCTTTAATGGTGGAGCCGGCCATGCAGGACGCTACAGAAACCCAGTCTGGGGGTCACTATACCTAGATAAGACCTTCCATCTGCATAGAATCGACTCAGTGGGTGGCAGACTCCTGAAATGGGCTATACATCTTCCCAGACACTTTGCACGGCCATGCACAGTTGAACTATGAACTCTGTTCCGAATAAGGATTGCCAAAGGAAGGATGGAGAGAGGGAAAAAAACACCTAAATTTCATTTAAAATCAAATCAAAGTTTGAGAATGTAGGAGGTGGGAAATTCTCCTGAGGTATAATGGAGGTCTTTGGCCAATGCTTGATGTATAGCATTAATTTCCGACATGACAGTCTCTTTATGACAACCACAATGCTTTACTCCGTTGGTCAATCGTGTGGGGTGGCTAGGAGAAGGTTAGGCCATATTTACTGCTTAGGCAAAAAAGAAATAGAGTACAAATTGTCTGTAGGCGCTGATGGCGTGTGAATAACTCTGGGCAGTACTAGACTTCGACGTAAGGTCAGCGTGTCAGATGCGAACCCCTATGCTTCTCTAATGTGATGGGTGTTCTGTGCGCTTGTAAACCTGCCGACCTCACTGTGAAGATCAATTGTGTTAACAAGCTATCAAATCAAATACAAAAGGTTGATTCTGTATATGTAAGCACACACAGCCCACTCAGGGGAAGTTTGGGACCTGTGTTATTCTTCCTGAAATAGCCAGCGAATCACAGAGTATCAGTGAACTTTGGCATGTAATACATCAAAAAGCATTCTGAGCATTTACCATATAGCAAGACTCATTAAGTTGGCCTTCACATAAAGGCCTATAAATAAATTTAATCTCAAAAATCATTTCTTATTCATTGGAAAATGGCAAGTAATTTATCTCTCCCTTTGTGTATCCCATGGATATTGTTTTATTTCAATAATGCTGACTTTATCTCTCTCAAGAAAGTGCTCATTATCACAAAGTCGAGTTCTATGTGGAGTCTAGACACGATACGAGGCATTTCTAAAGCACGAGTCAAGTACACTCCCAGGCGGATCTCGGGTTTTACGTCTTTGAAGCATTCAATTAAATTAGGTTTTTTAAGCCACAACATAGTTATTGAAGAGTTCTGGCTAGAGAGAACACAAACAAAATTACTTTTAAAGGAAGGTATTTTAATGATTGTGGGCATATGCTGGTGCCAAAGCAAGCCAAGAGCTCAGCTGGATACTCAATAATCCACGTCAGTAATGCATAAGCACTGATACTTAAGAGAGACTTCACTTGAGTAGATTGTTATTCTCTGAATTATGAAAAATGTAAAAAAGGCCATTTAAAAAACACTTGTAATCAGTAATAGCCAGTAGTCCGGCATTCAGTCTACATTCAAATTCACCACTAGTTTCTTTCCATAGCAGTGTTGTTTCTATTTCACTGTCAAACTTGTGGTCTTTTAAATGAGTAGCACTTAAAAAAAAAAAAAAACTTTTGCTAATAATTTACTCTCTCCATGTCATCCAAGATATCCATGTCATTCTTTCTTCACTCAAAAAGAAATTAAGGTTTTTGATGAAAACATTCCAGGACTTTTTCAGTTAAACATTCCAGGACAGTTTCAGTACAAATTGCAAACTGTTCAAAGGGCTTTAAACGATTCCAGATGATGAATAAGGGTCTTATCAATCAAAACGATCGTTCTTTAAAAAAAAAAAAAAAAAAGTTCAAGTTTTATAAGCTCAAATGCTCGCCTTGCTCTGTTCTGTGATGCGCGTTCGTGACTCTCCTGTTCAAACTTGTTCATCAAAATGAACAAATATTTTCCCGATTCAATTCGTTCATTTCATTTGTTGAATGAACCAAATGACATGAAAAAAGATTCTTATTCATCTTGATAAGGCCCTTATTTTTTTTAAAGACCCAAAAGTTTTTTTCAAAAGTGAACTACTATTCCAATTTGTATTGGAAATTGCACCTCCTCTGCAGCTCCTCTTTCCTGCGGTGTACCTCAGGGATCCATTTTAGCTCCAACATTATTTTCCTTACATCTGTTACCACTGGGTTCTATTTTTTCTAAACATGGAGTATCATTTCATTTATATGTTGATGACATTCAACATTCATATTTTTTTTTCTTAAATATACATTTGTGTGTATTTATATATATATATATATATACACAAAATAATTATACACAGTGCATCCAATATATTAAGTAAACACAAACTTTTATTTTGGATGCTATTAATCGCGATTAATCGTTTGACAGCCCTAATTTTAACCCTTTTAACATTTGGGTTTGTCCATATTTGACCCAAAGAGTGTGGGGTTTTGTCTATTGGTTTTGTCTACTGTCTGAGCTTGTTTTCACAGATTGAGCATGCTGGATTTGTGCTTGCCAGGTCATTGAATATCTGAGAAGTGACATACTGTAATCTGGTGATTGTCCACATTGGTCAGCGTCTGTCGGTGTGGTGCATTGGCCTTTAGATGAGATAAACTATATTTCCACTGTGCCCTAATGTAAAAGACATGCTTTGAATGCATTTGAAAGGAATGGTCTTCAGTTTTTGCCTATCGAGTGCAACAGTGCCCGTCCTCTTTTTCAGCGGCGTTGGTTCTGGATGATTTTTTTTTTTTTATCCATTCAATCCTTACATAGGGATTTAAAAAAAAAAAAGTCTTTGTTAAAGCTTTATTAACCAAGCCAACCAGCTTTGGCGTGAACATCGCAAAATGTAAAGGCAAAAAAAGTATTTTTTATATATATATATAAAAAAGTGAAATTTAAAAAAAATAAACAAATAATAAAAATTGGTGAATTTGAATTGGTGGAATTTTGGGAGATGTAGTTTTTTTATATACAAGAAATTCTGCTGTTAAACACAATTATTTTAAAACTAAGTTGAAATAATGCAGGCTGACGGCTTCAACAGAAGCAAATACTGTTGAGTACTACAGCCTCGTACCTCACAGTAGGGCTGTCTTTAAAGATTTATAAGTTATCGTTCAAAATCACTTTCCCAATGGAGAAAATGAATACGAGTTTTTTACTTCCGGAACCCGATTGTTGCAGTCTATTCTCTCCATACAGATTTTCATCATAGCTCCAAAAAAGCATTATTTTAAATATGTCATCAAGTCTGTATCATGTCAAAGTGAACCTTTTGTGTGAAATCTTGACCTGACAGGAAAATGAACTACATGGAGAACGAGACGATGAAAATCTCCATATGTCTTCCATTGAATGAATGAGTGCTGTGAACCATTAATGTGTTCATTATCTGGATGGATACCTCAAAGGGGCTCTTGATGTATATTATATATCAGGGATAATACACACATGATGTATCATATGGAAACTGGGCTTGATCCATCTGAAGGACATCAAAATAAGATGTTGGAGGAGTCAAAGAGAGTAGTCTACCCGTAATATGAAGATTGCAATATACATTTAAGGTATATTTATTCGCTAATTCTCTCTTATCATCATAAACAACAAAATGAGGAAAAGATGGAGCATAGACAGCTTAGTTTTTTCGAAAAGTGTATAACTCACGTTAGACTGAATACATGGACCACTTTGAGTTCTTTGATCGCTTTAGTAATGTAATAGCTATATGAACAACTTCATATTTTTTTCATATGGTTTTTCATGCTGAAATAACCAACATTTTTTTTTGTAATCCGTAAAAAGCAATAAACAGATGCATTAATGGCTCTTAGTTTATTTTGTCTGTAGCCGGAATATGATGTGCTTTTTCCACACCAAATTTCTTTGTTGACTTAATCATCATTATTTGAATTTCAAGAGCACCAGTATAATGACTTCACATTTATAGGCTATTTAACTTACGCAACTTATGCACACCTTATTATTGATTCTTACATAAACATAAATGCCATGACAGATGCAGCTTCTGTTCCACCTTTGCAGCGTAAAAATGTCTTGCTTTGCTCTATTCTGTGAGGCGCGTTTGTAACGTCACGTAATACGTAATTACGTTCGAAAGGTCACGGGCGACATAGCCGGAAGTACAGAATCAAAATCGTCCGACATCGTTGTTTTACCTTTTAATTCCTTTTTTTGTAAACGGCGTTTGAGTTAGTTTGCAGGTTCAACCTATGCGTTCAACTTGTAAACACTGACTCTGTACTTCCGGCTACGTCGCCCGTGACCTTTTGAGCGTAATTACGTATTACGTGACGTTACAAACGCGCCTCACAGAATAGAGCAAGGCTAGCATTTGTCTTAGAAAAGTTACATTTTTGGAATAAGTTTTGAAATAAACGATCGTTTCGCATGATAAGACGCTTATTCATCGTCTGGTGTCGTTTAAAGACATTTGAAGCTGCATCTGAAACTGTTATTAACTGTCTTTTGGACCTTGGACTGTCTGGTTCCCATTGAAGTCCATTATATGGAGAAAAATCCTGGAATGTTTTCATCAAAAACCTTAATTTCTTTTCGACTGAGGAAAGAAAGACATGGACATCTTGGATGACATGGGAGTGAGTAAATTATCAGCAAAGGTTTTTCAAAAGTGAACTAATCCTTTAAGTTTGATAATTAATCTGCTATGTCATGTTTATGACAGGTTGTGTCGTCTTAATAATGTCAAGTGTCATAACAAAGACATCTCAAACAATGTCATATTTGCATTCAAAATGTCATAACTGAGCGAATGACACTTAATGACAGTTGTCACAAACATGCATAAAACTTCCTTCATATTCATAGTCATGTTAGTCTTATACACACCCCTTTAAATAAAGTGTTACCAGAATGGTGAAATAAAAAATAATTTTCCCACAATTCATCCTATATCTGTTTAATGAGGTTCAAGTCTGGGTTTTGTACATGCAATCAAACTCATCCTTTAAGTACTGTATGTCCAAGCCATATAATTAAATCTCATCCCCTCATGTATGACCATCACGTATGATTGACAGCTCTAATTAGATCTACCTAAAAATTGAAAATTAAGAAACAAAGCCACTGTGCTTGTGTATGGCACATGTATATGAATTATAATAGGTGCAGAGAAGAAAAAAACGAAGAGACACATCTAATACAATCTGTAATATTTTGCCAGTCTATCCCAGGGATATCATATAGTAAATTGTTTTTTTTTTTATCTCTGTGGTCTTGCACTTAAGGGGATTCATTTGGTCTCTTTCTCTGTCTACCTCAGTCAGTCTCCCTCATTATACTGAATGGCACGCTGTTCATCACCCCGACACTAATTTATTACAAAACCTTGAGGGAGGAGAGATAATCAAAGATATGGCTTCTGTAGGGATTGCTGCTTCTATCAAGTGAATGTAGCTCATGTGTTCGGGATGAAAGTTAGTTGCCGAGCATTCAGCAGAGACCACAGAAGTGATTTGTGGGAACTGCTTCACTTTTATGCACACTGACTGCTAAGCATGTATGCTGAATACTCGCGCAGGAAATAGTGGACATGTCCAGGTAAATAATGTCTGGCCTTTTGATGTCTATACTCTTTTCAGTGGATGTGGAAAACACTTTCTCACTGCAGCAGAAAACAAGGTCAGATGTTTGATTGAATCTGGGCTGATGCCAGACAGGTTGTTTGTACAATTTTGGTTTGTCCTGCTTTCCCTTTCTGTTTGTTTGCAGTTGCAAATGTATTTTTTTTTTCATCACTGCCACATTTCCTCTAGTTAACCTTGACAATGGGATTGCCATAGTCACAAACATTTTGCCTGACAATAGCGATGAATGAATAGTTATTTAATCTCATATTGTCACTGTCAGATGGAAACCTTGCATGCACTCAAATGCTGGGTTGTTTCAATCCAAATTTGGGTCAAATATGGACAAATCCAGCCTTTGGGTTACATTTTTAAATTAAACTTTTAACCCAATATTTGGGTTTGTCCATGTTTGACCCAAAAATGGGTTAAACAACCCAGCATTTTCTTCCACTACTTGAAAAATAGAAACACAAAAACCAGAAAATCAACTTAGTGATTAAAATATAACCCAGAAAATCAAATTAGTCTGCAAACATGTCTCATTATACAAATTTGGGTTGTTTCAACCCAAATTATACAAATTATACAAATTTGGGTTGTTTGGGTCAAATATGGACAAACCCAAATGTAATAACTCCAACTTTAACTTTCACTTTCAACAGTAATTTTTTAATACATTTTAACCCAACATTTGGGTTTGTCCATATTTGACCCAAATTTGGGTTGAAACAACCCAACATTTTTTAGAGTGTGTTATAATCATTTAACCAAAATCAAGCAGTTTTTGACCGGCAAATATCAGATATAAGTGTTATTCCCATCATTAGAATGGCCTCAAAGTGCATCACATTACGTTTTCATCAAGATGTTAAAAAATTATTGTAGCTACTGTGGGTGCTCCATTTTTTATGTGATTTGGCCCAAATCTACGAGGGGACTACGACGATTTGGCCCAAATCTATTCTCTGTTCCTCATATACATAAAACATCAGCCTTTATATTGTGTTTATCTAGAGTAAAAACGTGTTTTACTCTCTGTTGCATTGCTAAACAAGTAGATGCTCTAAAATGTGTGCAGCACTTCATTTATGATAGAGGTGGGAGGAGTAATGAGGTTTGACTGACAGTTTGAGGAGCCAATGGAGTTGCGAGGTTCAGTCACAAGCTCTTTTTAATACTTTTCATTGATTGAATATTTGAAAAACCAACACAGATGTAAAGGGTAAGCAAAATGATTTATGACATTTTTTTTGACCATTCCCAAAGTGACTATAGATTCTGCACAGCTTTTCAGGTACCTTTGTAGTTGATCTTGAAGCCTATAGATCCCACACTTTCATCAGACTGGAGGTGAAGCCACATCTGATGGGTCATGCTAACAATGAGGTCGGGAACAAAGCTGCCCGTCAGACTGGGGAGAAGAGAGAGATTAGACACATAAACAAATCAGAAGCACATTGCACTAAGTGTACACTACCACACAAAAGGTTACGCATTCTTTATTGCTATTTTGCATATTTTAGAATAACAACACCAGGTGCGATGTGTATAAGATTAGAGTAATAAACAATTTGTCTGTCTACACCAGATGTGACACGACTACGAGACATGACAAAATCAATAAAAAAATCACAGCTAATCAGAAGTTTGTGGGCGAAGCCTCTCTGCAATGTCACACAAAACTCACATTAGATGCTTTAAATAAAGCATCTAAGCATCTGATAATTTACTCATCCCCTGTCATCCAAGATGTCCATGTCTTTCTTTCTTCAGTCGAAAAGAAATTAAGGATTCTCTCCATATAATGGACTTCATTGGGAACCAAACGGTTCAAGGTAAAATGAGAGTTTCAGTGCAGCTTCAAAGGGCTTTAAATGACACCAGACGATGAATAAGGGTCTTATCTAGGACCCTTTGAGTCATGACTCGAAAAAAACATTTGTTGATTTTGATGGACAAGTTTGAACAGGAGAGTCACGAACGCTCATCACAGAACAGAGCAAGGCGAGCATTTGTGCTTATAAAACTTAAACTTTTTTATTTATTTTTTAAATGAGCGATCATTTCGCTTGATAAGACCCTTATTCATCGTCTGGAATTGTTTAAAGCCCTTTGAACAGTTTGCAGTTTGCACTGAAACTGTCTTTTGGACCTTGAACCGTCTGGTTCCCAATGAAGTCCATTATATGGAGAAAATCCTGGAATGTTTTCATCAAAAACCTTAATTTCTTTTCGACTGAAGAAAGAAAGACATGGACATCTTGGATGACAAGGGGGTGGGTAAATTTTCAGCAAAAGTTTTTTTTAAAAGTGAACCACTACTTTATCATCCTTGATTTGTCATTACGAGTGCACAGCCATGTGAGTGGTGTTATTAAGAGTGACCACAGTAGATGTGAAATATTTTAATAAACATGATGTTAATTCAGCCAGCACACATCCCTTTATTTGCTTCCTGTTTTCAGTTGAAGTCCACGGTAGTCGATTGTCGACTCACGCGTGCGATCATTGGTGAATATGATCTCAAACCTCCTCCGACTGTGTGTTCAAGAACCTGATTCGGATGAACTATCCATTTGAGCTGATATTCTCAGAACACCACACAGTGGTAGGTTTGAGATGATATTCACCAATGATCGCGTGCGTGAACTCGACAATCGACTACTCTGGGCTTTGAGTGAAAATAGAGGTATGTGAGCTGGCTGAATTAACATTTTTAATAATATATTTCACATCTACTGCAGTCAGATTGACCGTGGTCACTCTTAATAACACCACTCACATGGCTGTGCACTCGTAATGACAAATCAAGGATGTTAAGATTCTAAAAGCAGGTTTAGAACATGTCCCATTGAAGTCAACAGGGTGCGAATTTTAAAAAGTCAGGCAACTCCGATTTTTGTTGTTTTTGTCTGTACTGACAGCACCCCAAATGTACAAAAAACTGAGCTCAATGTTAAAATTGACCGGAGTTCTCCTTTAAGACAACAAGGAGGAAAATAAACATTTGATTGGTTTCTGAAGACGCTACATGACTATTTACACTAGTAGGATATTGAAAATTCATTTTAGTTGTTTGTAAATCATTACCATCAAGCAACCACTGCCCAGAGCATTGAGACTGGCTGAGAGGAATATTGATTCAGGAACAGAATGTCCTACTGTGTAAATTATGCATCATCTTCTACCGTCACAGACTGTGGATAAGACACTCACACTTGCAAGATGGTTTTCGGGTCTCCTACTTCCCCTCCATCACCGATGGTCAGTGTGTCATAGCCCAGTTCTAGGTCAAACTCCTCAAAGTTAATCTGAATCACCTGTCGGCAGAAATGAGGCATAATGCTTAGTGATGTGTCAAATGAACGGAATTAAACTTTATGGCTCTTGCATAATTGAATCCTGTCAGCTGACTGAAACTGAGAGAGAATTTTGTGGAGAATAAAGAAATTTCACCATAAGGTCAAAGTTTCAATGAAACCTTTTTACTTGAGTTAGCCTCTACTGAACAAACATCATACATTTGCTTTTTGTTTTTTTACATAATATGTTTTTATATAAACTAAAACCATCAGTCGTTATTTTATATAGTGTGTTCAAAAGAAGAATGTAATCATAACACAACTAGTCAAGGTTATTATTATCATAAGCTATGTTCTCAGCAATAATTGACATGTTTCCATCTCCCTGTTTTTATGTGTATTTTAGCATCGCATCAGAAACAAGAGATGAAAACTGCAAAATAAAAGTTATAGTGGAAGAAGGAAACATATTTACTGAATACATTCTGACAAGGTGCACATTAGACCCATTAGACTGCTGTTTCATCAGGATGGGAATACCAGCTTTTTTTAGGGAACCGAACCGGATCATTTGGAGTGTTTTACTCATCTTTTTTTCTGACCCAATATTATTATAGATTATCTTTTCGCCACATTGCTCGACCACATGCACACTGTATGCACACACACACATCAGAATAATCTTGTGACCACAGGCTAGTGACAACAGCTAGTGACCATTTAACATGTGGCTGAGCAGTGAAGCGAAAGGATAATCATATTATTCTGTCTTGTATTAATATGCAAAAAGGGAAAACGGCTCTCAACGTTCACTTAAAGGAGTCGGCTCACACATCACATCACTACTGTTTCTACATATTTACTGTTGGGGTTACTGATACCATCGTCGTCCGCTCAAACAACCTGGTCCCGGTTTCACAGACAGGGTTTAGATTAAGCCAGGATTAGGCATTAATTCAATTTAACTGACTTTTATAAACATCCCTTTAAAAATAAAACATTGCTGATGTGAATGTTGAGACAAAACAATTGCATATTTTAAGAAATTTTAGGGCAATTTGCTTTGTTAAAACAGCTCAAACATGCATTTTAGTCTGGGACTAGCTTAACCCTTGTCTATGAAAACAAGGCTTAATTTGCACATAATTTGCATTTTTGTTGTTGTTGCAAACTTGGAAAATATTCGCTTCACATTTGGATGGAAACCCAGCTGTTTTTACACTTATTGCCAGCCTTTTGTACTCTCTCAGTCCTGTGGGAAACTGATGCTGAAAAAAAATACAATTGTAAAATTCAGACTAATTATACCATTATACAAATCACAGCACAGTCAACGGATTCATCCAAATGTAGTAATTTCAAGACTACACAGGGAGTTTGGAAAGGAGGATTGAGGCTTTAGCCGGGGAAAGAGGTGTGGAAAACAACCACAGGCATGGAGAGGCCTGAACTTTCTATATGGATTAACCCATTGAGAGCTACTGGGTGGAATTAGTTGCCATGGCGATGGGCTTTAGCAGGTATGGATGTATGAGAGCTACTTAGGAGTGATGATTGATGCCCAGACGGCATCTCAGCACAGATAATACAGTTGTTTTTTGCCATGTAACTGAATACAAAATACTCCAGAGTCCCTGTCTCACTAAAGGTCACCACATAACAAATTCAGCTCTGGCACGGCAGAGATGCAGGACTGAACAGACATCATTGAGGCTGGTCTTGGATCGGTCTCTTCTCTGGATTTGTAATATTAAAAGAATCTGTAAATCTGATCTCATATCAGGCCCGCGAGGTGTTCAGCGACTTGCTCTGCCTGCCTGCGGTTGTCATGGCGATTGGAGTCGTAAGCTAATGCTTTTGTTGGAGGGTGAGATGCTGAGTGAGTATTGAATTGCAAAGAAATAAGGTAATAGAGCAGAATTATGCCTTTACAATGGAGCAGAGAGGCCAGGGCAAATGCTTTTACCGATATACAGACAGGTCTATTTCATAAAAAAAATTAAAATGCATCATTTTGACGGGTGTTCAGGCCAGAATCTTGATTGGTCTGATGCAATTCAAACAAGTGTAAGAAAAAGAAGCCCAGACATTCACAAACTCCAGACCGACACATCAACACAAGCACACATGCATAAACACGCTAAAATGGGCATTCAATTAAAGCCAGTCATTTGAAAATAAAATAAAATGAAATATATAATTAAATAATATAATATAACAGTAAGCATATACAGTATGCAATTTGTATGTTTTCTGGGAATTGGACCCACGACCCATTGTTACATTTGACCAAACCATATATTATGGTTTGACATGACATAACTTAATATTAGTTTATTAGAATGATTTAATCTGCATATTAGAAACATAACAGAGCAACGCAAGATAACATAACATAACATTACAACATAACATACGATAAGATAACACATAACATAACATACAGTAACATAACAACATAACATAAGATAACATAACATAACAATATAAGATAACATAATATAACAGCATAACATAACAACATAACATAATATAACACAGCATAACATAACATAAGACAAGATAACAACATAACAAAACAAAAGATAACATAACATAACAGCATAACATGACATAACAATATAAGATAACATAACATAACACAGCATAACATAACATAAGATGACATAACATAAGATAACAAAACATAACATAACATAAGAAAAAAGATGAGATACAATAACACAGCATAACATTAGATAACATAACATAACATAACATAACATAACATGTATTCTTTCCACATCCTTACACCAGGGGCTTTAAAACTTTTACTAATACCTTTTCTCTATCAGCGATGAAAGGAGAATGTATGATTCTTCATGGTGTATTACTGTCTTTCAGGGAGCCAGAAACAAAGCAGACACACTCTGATGTTTTGTAGAGTAACTGAAAATATAATCTGGGATTTTAAGGCCCCTGTTGTCACCGCCTGTGATCATGCAAATATTCAAAAAACATTATTTTCATTTAATAGGTCAGCCTACGTTTCATTTGCTGCTTTTAATACAGGCTAATGGAGTAAAGAAGTCAGTTCAGTTCATGTTTTTTTGATTTTGAAGTACATTTACTTGCAAATGTCTTTTATTTGACCAAACTGCATTACCTGTCACTTTGAGACTGTGACTTTTGTTCATCAGTTCTGTGGTTTGACAAGCTCATGATTTGACAGCTCGCGTGTGCTGAAGGGCTGGCATGATATTACTGAAATACTGCTCCAGGTAAAACTACTGAAATAGTCTCATTTGAGTGACATGATTGGAAATTCAGTGAACAGAAGAAAGTGAACATGACGGTTAAAAACATCTACATATTTATAAAAAGCTTTTAGGACACCCACCCAAAAAAAAAAGAAGAAAACAGAACACAGTGTTGAACTAAAGCAATAAGCAGATTACAGTGAAAACATTAGGGGTGTTTTAATCATTTTAACATAACCTTAAGTGGCTTATTGCATTTAATAAATTGCAGCAACAGCAATATGATTAAAGTATGTTCATATACAGTATACACTCACTTAAAGGATTATTAGGAATCAATTTCTCATTAATGCTATTATCTAATCAACCAATCATATGGCAGTTGCTTCAATGCATTTAGGGGTGTGGTCCTGGTCAAGACAATCTCCTGAACTCTAAACTGAATGTCAGAATGGGAAAGAAAGGTGATATAAGCAGTTTTGAGCGTGGCATGGTTGTTGGTGCCAGACGGGCCGGTCTGAGTATTTCACAATCTGCTCAGTTACTGGGATTTTCACGCAAAACCATTTCTAGGGTTTACAAAAAATGGTGTGAAAAGGGAAAAACATCCAGTATGCGGCAGTCCTGTGGGCGGAAATGCCTTGTTGATGCTAGAGGTCAGAGGAGAATGGGCCGACTGATTCAAGCTGATAGAGGGGCAACTTTGACTGAAATAACCACTCGTTACAACCGAGGTATGCAGCAAAGCATTTGTGAAGCCACAACACGCACAACCTTGAGGCGGATGGGCTACAACAGCAGAAGATCCCAACGGGGACCACTCATCTCCACTACAAATAGGAAAAAGAGGATACAATTTGCAAGAGATCACCAAAATTGGACAGTTGAAGAATGGAAAAATGTTGCCTGGTCTGATGAGTCTCGATTTCTGTTGAGACATTCAGATGGTAGAGTCAGAATTTGGCGTAAACAGAATGAGAACATGGATCCATCATGCCTTGTTACCACTGTGCAGGCTGCTGGTGGTGGTGTAATGTTGTGGGGGATGTTTTCTTAGGCCACTTAGTGCCAATTGGGCATCGTTTACTGTAAATGCCACGGCCTACCTGAAAATTGTTTCTGACCATGTCTATCCCTTTATGGCCACCATGTACCCATCCTCTGATGGCTACTTCCAGCAGGATAATGCACCATGTCACAAAGCTCAAATCATTTCTAATCGGTTTCTTGAACATGACAATGAGTTCACTGTACTAAAATGGCCCCCACATCACCAGATCTCAACCCAATAGCGCATCTTTGGGATGTGGTGGAACGGGAGCTTTGTGCCCTGGATGTGCATCCCACAAATCTCCATCAACTGCAAGATGCTATCCTATCAATATGGGCCAACATTTCTAAAGAACGCTTTCAGCACCTTGTTGAATCAATGCCACGTAGAATTCAAGGCAGTTCTGAAGGCGAAAGGGGGTCAAACACAGTATTAGTGTGGTGTTCCTAATAATCCTTTAGGTGAGTGTATATATATCTACTGTATATATAAAAAAAAATCTTTTCTTTTACACTTCTGCCATGCATTGACCTGAACAATTAGAGTTCGAAGTATAACACTCAGCGTTTTGCTTTGCAGCAACCGTGTAATTTTCAGAGCAGCAATGTCACATGATGGCTCGTGCTCTCATTCTTGTTTTGAAACGGCAAGTGTGAAATGCTTGGGTGAGACTGTAGACACGAGACGGTACTGGCAGTAAATCCCAGTAGGATTGTGTGACAGTTGAA